CAGATTAATTAATAAAAGAAAACAGCTGATTGTACTTAACAGCTGATTGTGTGAGTCGACAGATTCATTTCAGCACCAGCCTGTACCTGCAGCACTGAGCTCCATGTTTTTCATTCTAATGAAAATACTGAGCCCCACAATTAAAGGTAGTGGGCACGATGTCTGGGGCGGGCGGTTACTGCCAACGTCATTGGTGGAAGGGCAGAGTGGGGTGTGGCCAAACGCCTTCTCGCAGCCCTTCCACCATGCCGTTGGCAGTAACCGCCGGTCCCTGCCAGTGCCACCTGCCTTTACGTGACAGCATAGAACTAAGTCGGGCAATTAGGGAGTTTGGAGGAGGGAGGGGGGGAGTAGGTACGCGGCTATGTCCCTTCCACCTACCAAGCTCAAGTTCAATAGAGCAGAGAGGAGCAGACAGGCCGCGTGTGACATCAGTAAGGTTTATTTATCTCATTTCTCTAGCCAGAACCGCAAAATCTAGCCCAGAAACCTAGTAAGACATTCAGCAATGCCAATCCACCCAGGTTTTTTGCAGATAAAGCGCGTCTAATAAGGTGTGAGTCCGTAGCAGCATGCCTGCTGCATTTTACTTTACACATAAAACTTCGGTGAGTCGGTTGTTCCTTAGTGAGTGATTGCTTCTGTGACACCCGTCGACCCCTCGAATCATGTCATTTCTCAAAAAGAAAAGAAAACGGACCGGTCCACCGTCCTTCTCGTACTCAGCTGCAAGTTCTTCAGCAGAGCTCATCTCTGAACCTTATAAAATCTGAAACAGTTTATATGAGATATGTGAATTTGCAAGGTTACGCGTCGCACAAGCATGCGTCGCGACTGCTTTTGCGAGTCGATGCCATATAGATCATGAAGCACAAGGATGCCAATAAAGCCTAAAAGGTACTTTTCAAAGCATCGCAAAGAATCATGCAGCTAAAAATAGAGTAATCAACGAACCACAAGAAAACCCTAGAAAGGAGATGAATTCCAGGCGCAATGGTTCAAATCAGCGCTAAACGCTAATGCGAAGACGTCAGTTGGTCCAGCTAATTGGCCGAAACTGCGGCTGATATAGTCATGGAAAACAATGATAACAAGGCCGTCAACATGACCGAAGATAAGCAAAGATTTTCTAGAATAACTTCGAGAACGTTAAAACGACAATACTGATCACAACTGAGCTAAAGAGCGATGAAATCACCGCCTATAGCGCGCTTTTATAGCAAAACGGGGCCAGAATTGTGCTATAGGTACGCAACCCCTCCAAGTACGTGCGTGCGTCAAAGTGAAGAAGGACAACCAAATAGGAACAGCACCCGTTGATCAGTCGATAGCTGGCTGCCGCTGCCCACCCGCAAACACCCTGTTCTGTCACGTGGCAATGATCGTCTATCGTCGATAACGTGGCCGTGGTCGCAAATTTAGCGCGGGAAATGGCACAGAAGGTTCTAGAGGCAGACGGGCCCTTTGGTTATGCAACTTGTTAGCTGTGGACTATAGAGAAAAGTTTTATATATAAGGCATAGTAGCGGGATAGGTGTGACAATCATGTTTACAAGAGGCGCACAGGTTACGCCACGTTGTATGCGCCGGAGGACGGGGAGAACTGGGAGTGTACTTGGCCTGAGAAGAATATTTTTTTCGATAGTTGATTGCTCTTATTTCAAAGGTTGTAAAGGGGAGGGGTCGTGTTTGCTCGCTGTTGTGAGGGTGGGGAGTGGTAGTTGTCTTTGAAAGGAATTTGCGGCGCTGGGAAAAAACTTCTCGGTTGTTGACTCCCCCTAGTGGGTGGCGATCGCCCATGGCCCATTCACCACTGTTTCGATAGTCAATAGTAGGCTAGAGTCCTGACGATCCCTTCTCCCCCCTCTCGACAGCAAAGATTTTGGGGAAAAACAAAAATTTCGGGAAATGCCGGAAAAACTGGAAAAAGTGGTAGGAAGTTGGGAAAATCTAGGAAAGTGGTAGGTAGGATGGGGAGGGGGGGGGTCGTATCAGAGGATGGATTATTGAGGGGTCGTATTTCGCAGGAATTTATCACAACGCGATGGCATGCCCTGGGCGCAGTTCAGCTTGGTGGGGACATTTTGCTAGTTTCCATCGAATAGAATTGCCGATGCCTGCTGTGAAGATTAGTAAATTCCTAGGAAGCTAGGCTATAGCATGAGCATCTACATTAGACAAGAATCTACAGGTCTCAACAAGATGAAACGTGAGAGTTGGCAGAAACTAGCCGAAGTCTTGCGAAGTTGCAAAATCCCCCCCTCTCAGCCGAACAGCACCAGAAAAGACCTACAGACTCATTTTATCTCGCGGAATGTCATAAAAACAGGCTGGCAGCAAAAAAAAACAGGTAGTGGCGCACTAAAAAATAGCTAAGCATTTGGTGCAGAGCAGCCAAGACAAAAATTCACTTTCACGGTTTAACACTTTACACAATTGGAAAAAAATCGTGGCATGAACATCAAGCTGGAAACTTGTACCTCTGGGAAGCGCCACTATGCAAAATTGGGATTACCGTAACCCGGGAGATGGTCAAGACAATCGTAAGTTGCCATCCCGTCACGTGCGGCGATGTGTGCGGCGTTTTCGTAATTTGCGTTGACCTGCCAATTATAGCATAGGATTTCGTTTATACCAAGGCATCGCAGACAGCTGTGGTTATTTTTGGTTCAACATTGTTTATTGCCGCCATCTAAGACCTGGAAACATGGGTATGTAACAAGAGAATTGTAATTCACCGCGCTGATGGGCGTCGCGTGCGACGTCGCCCGCAAATGACGATGGTTCCAGGTAGTAGATGGCGACAACAGGCAATTCAGAACCGAAAATAGTCATGAATGTCTACGATGACGGGGTCTACATGAAGTCCGGTGCTCCAATCGACAGGTTAACACGAGTTAAGAAAACGCCGCGCCCATCGCCGCGCGCGGCGGAGCGGCAAATTACGATTCTCTTGTCCGTCTCCCCCCGGTACATAGTATTATCCCTGAAATATACAATCCACTAAGTATGTCTCTGTTTGTGCGCACATGGTGCGTGCGTAGTGTTTGCGTCTGTCCCCAAATCGAGAACGCCAGTCACAGCAACGGTGGAACGTTGGTTCCAAGAAGTAACGTGGGCGATTGGCAGGAACATTGGCGGTGAGTGGCAGGTGGATGGTATCAACTGACAAAGTCCGATATCCGATAAGGGCGTCAGAAAAGCAGCGTCTCCGCAGTCAAGTTCAAAAGTTGAATTCAAATCTTAATGAGAACTTCAACAAATATCAATTTCGCCATACTTACATGCAAAACGTAAATAAGCCATAAGGCTTCGATCGTCGGTGGCAGAAAATGATAACAACCGGCGAAGGGCTGAGAGTGATAAGTTTGTTCGCAAGTCACAGTCATGACCCGCTCACGAAATACGAGTTCTGAGGCGCAACTTCGGCGAGAGAGGCGGTGTCGACCCATCTAGGGAGCTATTTCATGAGCTTACAAAAGTTGACAGGTTTTAGCATGGTGTCTCGACGGCTTGCTCCAGGTTCACAAGTTCTTTTTTCCACAAGGGTCTTACCTGTGTGGACTTGTAGGCGGAACTGTGAAGGTGGCGAAGTGCCCCTCCCCTCCCGAACTGCGCCCTTTTTTAGCCTGACTTCTTTTTAGGCCAGAATTGCGCTGACAACTATGTTTGTGATGGACTAACGAATGTTCACTAAGAGAAAACTGTTGGAACTCACTGGATTAATTGCGTCATAATTCAAGAAAGAGCGCCTTAAATCATGTCTGGGGCCTGCGCCCTCATAGAACTATACATACACACGGCATCTGTCAAAGAGCAAAGCAGATGTTCAAAGTCGCCTTTCTAGACAAATTGTTTTCGGGCTTTTGACGTTCCCCAGAAATGCATAGCAAAAATGAAGCATGATATTTGTGAGTCATATGTACATCGCGACAGAGCACTCTTCAAAAGCGATATCGATACCACGACGCCTCAGCCAGGCACTCCTTTCGAACAGTTGCAGGAAAGTTTTACATAAGCAGCGCGTTACTGATGTTCATTCCACAATCATTCTCCATTTCACACAGCAACATGTGAGAACACCATCAGACGGTTATGTCGTACCCACTAATTATAAGATGAAAACAACAATAGGTAAAGCGCAATGGTTCACACACCCCGCCCACACGACAAGCGCGGAATGCGACAGCAATGAGCACAAAATGGTAGACAGAAGAAGAAAATTAGGATGGTTATTCATGCCCCTCCTTCTCCACTAAGAGGCGCCATACATTCTATTTCCGAGGCAACATGCCCGCCTCATTTCAGAGTTATATTTCTTACCGACTAGCTGCTTCAAATCCATCATTCAAAGTACTGAAAAAATGGGATGCGCATTCTTCTGGTTACTTCAGTCTCCTAACCTTGACCTAGTGAGCTCTACGAACACTTGCAATGGTGGTGTAAGGGTGGTGTAAATGGTAGAGCTTCATTAGATTACCCATATAGGGCATTTTTGTACATCAGCCGGATAAAACCGACAGATGGCAACGTAGAGAATCATGAGAAATTCTCAAAGCAGGCTGGAATAAGCCATTCACCCCCCCCCCCCATAAGCCACCTCCTTAGCCTAGGGCTCTTGAATTTCCTTTTTATACGCTTTTACTGGTAGGGGTTCATTTGTAAGCGAAATTAATCTCTAATCTAGCTGATATCAATCAATCTAATCGACAGCTAATCAGAACATCCAAACTAGCTTCTATAAGCTCTTTACGTTGATTTACCGGATTTCTGAATTTACTCTTATAAACAGCATTTTCGAGGAGAATGAGTAAAATCTCCAGCGCTAGTTAAATAAGATGGAGTACTCTGAATCAGAGCACCCAGACACTCGAGTCCATGAGAAAAACATTCCTTTAATACAATCTGAAAGGCCCGAAAAGCAAGAACCCTTCTGCACGAAGGAACGGTGGTCTAGCCACCCTGCCCGCCCTCGGTAGACGGTCAAGACAATCGCAATTTGTCGCACCGTCGCGCGCGGCATACCGTGCAGCACGATGCGCTAGATTTTGCGACACGACAAATTTTGCGTGTTTACTAATTTGCCGATTGTAGCGGCGGAACCCGCATGAATTCCTGGCGGAAACAAGACTCCAAGACAGGCGATATCGAATCTTCTCGTCTCTTTACTATTCAAATTGAAACAGCCGGGCAAGGCGACCCGTCTTTCGCGTGAGCGGCATCGCTCGCCACGCTCGCCGATGTGGACGATTATCTTGTCAAATACCGCCGTCCTGCTTATGCGCAGACGAGAAGAGTCACCGAGGAATAGTCTCCTAGAGTAGAAATATTCGCCACTGGGCTTAATAGGGGGAAGTGGTACACAGGCGATGTCCCTCCTACAAACGGGAAGATGGTCAAGACAATCGTAATTTGCCGCTCTGTCGCGCGCGACGATGGGCGTCTCCTTAATTTGCGTCAGCATGCCGTTTGAAGCACCGGATTTCATGTAGATTACGACACCGTGAACTTGACGCTATTTTTGGCTATACATTGTCTACCGCCATTACGACCTAGAGACATTGCGATTTTCGGGCGCGACTTCGCAAGGGACGCTTGCCAGCGCAGCGAGTTACGATTGTCTTGTCACATACCCCTCCCCAACTACGATAGCGCCCAAAAATTCTCATCCCTGCCTCACAATGGATTCTACCCACACTTCACCATAAAATGTATGTGGCTCAACATATAACGAAATTTACCGCAATTTAG